GTTACTGGGGGGGTTTAGGGGTCTCTGGGGTGGTTATATGGGGGTCCCTGGGATGGTTTGGGGTCCCTGGGATGGTTTGGGGGTCCCTGTGGTTGTTCGGGGGTGGTTGAGAGGGGTCCCTGGGATGGTTTGGGGTCCCTGTGGTGGTTTGGAGGTGGTTGGGGAGGGTCCCTGGGGTGGTTTGGAGGTCCCTGGGATGGTTTGGGGTCCCTGTGGTTGTTTGGGGGTCCCTGGGGTGGTTGAGGGGGGGTCCCTGGGATGGTTTGGGGTCCCTGTGGTTGTTTAGGGGTGGTTGAGGAGGGGTCCCTGTGGTGGTTTGGAGGTCCCTGGGATGGTTTGGGGTCCCTGGGATGGTTTGGGGTCCCTGTGGTTGTTTGGGGGTCCCTGGGGTGGTTGAAGGGGGTCCCTGGTATGGTTTGGGGTTCCTGTGGTGGTTTGGGGGTGGTTGGGGGGGGTCCCTGGGGTGGTCTGGGGGCCCCTGACCCCCCGTGCCCCCCAGGCCCCGGGCACAAGAAGCGCAGCAAGAGCCCGCGGGTGCCCGAGCTGAAGAGGAAGATGAAGGGCAGGAAGATGGCCCCGCTCAAGATCAAACTGGGAGTACTGGGAGGCAAACGCAAGAAGAGCAGCTCGGTGAGTGCCCCTGAGGGGCACTGGGAGCACTGGGGGACACTGGGAGCACTGGGGGACACTGGGGGACAGGGCAGGGGGCACTGGGGACACTGGGGGACGGGGCAGGGGGCACTGGGGACACTGGGGGACGGGGCAGGGGGCACTGGGAGCACTGGGGGACAGGGCAGGGGGCACTGGGAGCACTGGGGGACAGGGCAGGGGGCACTGGGAGCACTGGGGGCACTGGGGATGGGGACACCCAGGGACAGTGACACTGAGGATGGGCACATGGGATGGGACGCTTGTTCCTGCTGTCCCCTTGTGACTCCATGTCCCCACTTGTCCCCGCTGTCCCCCAATGTCCCCTGCTGTCCCCTGCTATCCCCCCATGTCCCCTGCTGTCCCTGCTGTCCCCACTGACCCGCTGCTGTCCCCACTGACCCGCTGCTGTTCCCATTGACCCCATTGACCCGCTGCTGTCCCCACTGACCCGCTGCTGTCCCCATTGACCCCATTGACCCGCTGCTGTCCCCACTGTCCCCATTGACCCGCTGCTGTCCCCGCTGACCCACTGCTGTCCCCACTGACCCGCTGCTGTCCCCACTGTCCCCATTGACCCGCTGCTGTCCCCATTGACCCACTGCTGTCCCCACTGACCCGCTGCTGTCCCCGCTGTCCCCACTGACCCGCTGCTGTCCCCACTGACCCGCTGCTGTCCCCACTGTCCCCATTGACCCGCTGCTGTCCCCATTGACCCGCTGCTGTCCCCACTGACCCGCTGCTGTCCCCATTGACCCCATTGACCCGCTGCTGTCCCCACTGTCCCCACTGACCCGCTGCTGTCCCCGCTGTCCCCACTGACCCACTGCTGTCCCCGCTGTCCCCGTGCAGAGCGAGGACGCGGGCGAGGCCGAGGAGGAGTCGGACGCCGAGAGCCCCGGGGTGCTGGGGGCCACCCCCCGCCCCGACCCCACCACGCGCCTCAAGAAGCTCAAGAGGGGCCGCCCCGGGCGCAAGAAGAAGAAGGGTGAGCGTCCCCGAGCGTCCCCGGGTGCCACCACCGCCACCCCGCTGGGCGATGGGGACGGCCGGGTGACGTCCCCGTGTCCCCTCCCCCGTCTCTCCTTGCAGCCCCCGGCGCCGGGCCGGGCCGGGAGCGCGGCCCCGCGGGGACGGGCGTGGCGCCCGCGCACGGTGAGACACCCCAAGTGTCCCCAGGGTGTCACCCGGGGTCCCCAAGCCCCCACGGGTGTCCCCCCACCGAGCGGGGGCCGCCGTCCTGTCTCTGTCTCCAGCCCGGTGGTGGTGGCTGGGGGGGTCCCCAGCCCCTGGTGTCTTCTCAGGGGTGTCCCCAAGGTGTCCGCAGCCCTGTTCCCGTGTCCCCAGCTCTGTTCCCACCCATGTCCCCAGCCCTGTTCCAGTGTCCCCAGCCCTGTCCCCATGTCCCCATCCCTGCTCCCAGTGCCCAAAATGTCCCCATGTCCGCATCCCTGTCCCCAGTGCCCCCAATGTCCCCATCTCCCCATCCCTGTCCCCATCCCCAGTGCCCCCAGTGTCCCCATCCCTGCCCCCCCTGCCTCCATCTCTCTGTCCCCAGTGCCCCCATGTCCCCAACCCCCCCATCCCTGTCCCCAGTGCCCCCAGTGTCCCCATGTCCCCATCCCC